TATATTTAACCCCGTGTGAAACAGATTAGATTTCAGGTCTTTGGTGTTCAGCCAGTCGCACAACCTTTATTACATCTGGGTCACACTGGATTAAACATATGGATGCAATTCAAGACTTAAAGACACAGGCACGGAAGACCAGATACACCAAACGCTTGTCGCAGCACAGATCAGATCGTCGTTCAGGCGCAGACGCACATTTTTTGTCCCTTTTATGATGAGGACAAAATTCAGATCCACTGTGTAAATGCAGCCTGTGACACAACAAATGTTGTGATTGCTAAACCAAGTCTCATTGTTGCACGGTAAATGCAGCCTTTACTATATAATTAAAATACTTTACAATATCCATCTATCTTCATGTCATTCTACATAGTGTCAAACTAACACCCATAATTATAAAGTGTCCAGATATGAGAGTACTGGTCCAGGATCAGAGGTCGGACCAGTGCTGCATCTCAGAAAGAAAAGTAGTTGTTTTGGGCTGCATGCAGACGTCCACATATGGGACAGAGAATCAGTTTCCCGTTCACAGATCGAACTAGTGACTTCTTTTGTTTATTGTAAACCTTCTGACCTGTTTGACATCTGCAGTGAGTCAGAAACTTTTTATCAGCCCAGTACTCCTGCTGGAAGATACTTTAAGAAAATGGGTGTAGTTTTGTGGTAAACTGATGATAAAAGGCCACGCTCCCTGGAACACGTCTCCTCCACATGTAATAGAACTATCATCTAATTAAGGCGAGACCAAAGCCACTCACCCTACCATGCTTTTGACTATTAAGGTCGTTTTCCACTTATATTGCTTCTTTAGACAGAAAACTAAACATAAAACACAGGTCGCTCTGGGATTGTAAATGTGACAGGTGACCAACATGCTGAGGGGCAGACACAGGAGGATCTGGTGTTAGTGATTATTTGAAAACAGACAAATCCGATCTTCTTCCAGATTAATGTCTTTTGTCACTGACAGCAAAACTCTGTGTTAGTCCCATGATGCAAGCCAGCACTGTTAGACTTGCTACAGTTTTTCCCTTGGAATGTGTCGCAGCCAGCCTGACATCATTGTGCATTGTGAAGCAGTTGCATACATGATTCGATTAGACGCAAGCAGGCAAACAAAACGTACATTACAGAAGAACTGGGGGAAGGAGACCGAGACACAGAGAGAGATTATAATCATGAGAACAGACAGTATTACAACATACTGTTGTTTGTTTACGACAGGGCGACCAGCAGGGGGCGTGACTGAGTGTCTGCATGCAGCGCCTTCTGAATACAATCCTCTTATTTGTAGACTTTCTGTCTCTAATCTGGTTATTTAAAAATAATTATTTTTTCTGTGTCCAACAGATTTTTATCTCCAACTAAACCATTTTTTTTTCAATATTCCACAGACGATGTCAGACGTGAAAGACTTGATGTAGCGATACACTAAATGATGCCAAAACCCACTGAATGATGGGAAATTTCACCACGAGCTCTACTTTGCAATCTATGCTTTAGGAGATATAGTTTCTTCTGGACACTGATATTATAGAGGACTTTTCACTGTACATAAACACAACTTTAAAAAAAACAAGAGCAGTAGAAAATACACTTTCTGTGATTATTATCTGTTAGAATAACATTCTACATATACTATGTTCTTAATAATGGCTTGTGTCCAAATATGGATGAAGTCAATGACGTCAAAGGAAAAAATAGAAATCATGTCATATTTCATATCATATATTTGAAAGGTAGATCATGTGCTTATTATCTTGCCAGACAAGCTAGTTTTATGAGAGGAAGCAGCATCCACTTGCCAGTCAATATACAGGGGTGAGAATATATATATATATATATATGTATATGTATATATATATGTATATGTATATGTATATATATATGTATATGTATATATATATGTCTGTCCACTGAGTGGTTGATGCAGCATATTGGAAGAAATGTGTGGCTGTACGTTGCAGGACACTCCTGTCGCAGAGGTTTACACATGAGCTCCCATAATTCCACAGTACACGAGGCAGAGTGTGTCCTGTGTGTCTTTATCTCAGTTGTTTCGCTCTATGTTGGTGTTGCAGAGGTTCTTGAAGTGTGGTGTGGTGCGGGAAGAGTAAACGGGGTCGGCCTGGCTCAGAGGAGGTCTGTGGTAGCCGGGGGCTCCGAGGCTTGGCTCTCAGGGTGGGCCTTCAGAAGGTCAACTATTTCTTGGTGGGAGGCGGATTCTGCCACTGACAGAGCCGTCTGACCATTCTGAGGGAAGACAGAGAGAAGTGTTACAGTTTCATGTGGAAGACGATGCAGTGGCTGTTCTCATCCTGTGAGAGGCAGCGTTGTGCTTTCTCTAGAAGCTGGACATTAGAGCACATACAATATGTTTATGCTGGACCGACCCTGATAATGTGCTGGGTTCAGTGTGTGGAAATATTTCTGGGTATGTTTTGCCTTTTTTGAAACATGTTGAATATTTTATGATTTGTTTTCAATCTCTTCAAACACGTCACATCGCAACAACAAAGTGCAGCTAATAATACACAGATAAGCCTCTTTGCATTATGCAGAAACTGCCTGCGTAGAGATGAACCCGGGAGTTTTTTTGGACGTCATTAAACGGATGAATAGAACATCAAATCGAAAAGTTTGCTGTTGCCTCTTCCAAGGATGTTGTTTGTTACGGGACAACAACTCAACTGATTTCCCCGACATTTTGTGGAGCCATGACTCGAGAAAGAAGTCATTAAATTTTGGTTCAGATCCGGATCCAGAATATTCAGACCCAAATAATAATCTGGATCTGGTGAATTTGTGGACATGTGCATTCTAAATGCAATTCTAGTTTAATATGGAAATATCCTTACTGCTCTCTTTAACTATAATAACACATATACTTCTAAAAATACCTTATGCAATTCTGAAAAACATGTTTTGTATCTTGTGTTTCTTATTTATTTATGTTTCTGCATCCTTTTCTAATACTTTAGCATGTGACCCCTTTATCAGATGATACCATCCATTAAGCAAATAAGAATAATAATGTTTTAACAATTATCCGACTGCGTGAGCTAAAACTGTGTGCGTCCTCACAGAAAACTCTCTTTCTTTCCCTGGAAGAACAAACCTCTCCAAGATGCCATCTCTTGCAAGCCCGTGTCTCTATAGATTAAGATGTGTGCTTGATGCTGACACACCATTCAAGACAAGCAGCTATAAATTTCCACGGCTGAGTAAACTGGCCTTGTACTGCAACATCTCTTCTATTCAGCAGATACTATGTAGTGTTTAAGTATTACCACAAACCGGCAGGCAAGACTTGAGGAAACACAAATGTCTCAAGACAGAGTGAATAATCCGTAACTTCTTGATTATTTATTTGCATACAGTTTGAAAAGACCTTTCAGAGCTGCTTATTTCCTCAGTGTTAGGATGTTTGTCTCTTGATGCCACTTAATAAACAAAAACGAGTGATTCTTCACCATCATCTAGGACACAGGGGTTGTGCATCCTTTAGGGTCAAATAGAATCAGAGCCCGGGGGTGATGCAGGAGTGGAGGTCTGGCTTGAATGATTGAGATGATACATGAGCAGCAGCAGCAGCACTGTTCACAGTATTATTCCAGATGGAGAAGTCCACTGGCTGAGCATCGGTGCGGCTGTTCCCCGACTTAGACTGCACAGGGGAATCAGCAATCCAGAGGAATCAATAATGCACTTGGTTGAACAATCAATCTACTATGTGAGGGCCGGGCACCAGCCCCTGTATGTCTATACCTACACTGGCCACCTTAAGCTGAACACAGCGAAGTCCTAATGCATAGTGACACTTTCTCCACGAGTCGGCAACAAGGAGCCGCGTGACCGTTTCTGTGGTAAAAGCTGCAAAGTATCAGAAATGATGTTGGGATCCTCTGGAAAGAATTAACCTCTATTAGAGAGTAACATGAAGCCAAAAACCACAGTCGTCCTTGGTCCTCACTCCCTCTTTAACTTAGCCACTGTAGGGATGAGATATGAACCCGTTTTGAAGCCATGTTTTCCGATTAGCTCTTGATGTGTCGCTGTATTTTATGAGATAGATGCAGGTTTCAGGTGTTGGTGGGCGTGTTCCTAGTCAGGCTCCGCCCCCTGCTCCACCAAATATGGTTATTTTTGGTTTCAAAACACTAAGATGGCGCACGACAAATTGTCAAACGAGTCTCGGTGAGCTGCCACTAAGCGTTGGGGGCATATTCGGTCTGGTAGTTTTACAGCAGTCCAGCCGATGTGATTTCAACACTTCACCTTATCTACGAGGCTGGCGTCACAGCGACCCGTCTCCAGCAGCAGACGAGCGATGTGCGTGTGTCCGTGTTCGCTCGCGCACATCAGGGCTGTGGATCCCTCGCGGTCCTGGGCATTTGCATCCGCACCCGAGCTCAGGAGCAGCTTCACCATGGCAACGCGACCGTGGCTCACTGCGAGCATAAGTGCCGTCTGGCCCGCCTAGAGAAGGAGTGAGAAACAGAATTAGAAGCAAACAGTGGGAGGGGGAGTGTGAGGGGATAATCTATATAAATATATATGAGGGATAAAGAGATTAAGAGAGACGCAGGGTCAGGATATCTGTTGGAGGAGGAAGCGAAGGGAAGAGTGAGCGACCTTGAGATAAAACAGTCTCAGAAGATCTGAATCTTACATCAAGAGTGAGGGACAGGTAAAAGGTATAGCTTTAATAATAATAATAATCTTTTTTTTATATCGTTCTTCTAAAAGCAAACTTTCAAAGTGCTTGGATAATGAAAAAACAAGCGAGTAAATACACATAAAAATAAGAATAAAAGCATGAAACCCAATTTAATTACAATAATAAAAACTAGAATTAGTAATTAGTCTAATGTAGGATTGCGGGATGATAAAAATTAATTGTTTATTCAGTACAATCAAAGTTTTCATATCATTGAATATCAAATGAAAACCCTGATACCGATACGTCTGTTAAAGGTCATAACAGTCCATTGTTTTTTTGGCCAAGCGATAAATTGTTTGGGCTCCACCGTAAACACCATATTTCTTGTCAATAGATTTTTATTTTCCTCTGAAGATGTTCTCGCTGCTGAGAAAACAGCTGATGTCAACTGTATTTCTGCAAAGTAACCAACTTGTAAAAATGTGCTCAAATCCCCGGAGGAGTTTTTTAAAATTCCTGTATCTACTGTGCCTGACATTCAGTCAGCACCATGACAGAACGCGTTAGTAGTTGTGAGCTCATCCTTTAATTACCTGTCTGGAGCGAGCGTTGACATCCCCCAGTCTCAGCAGTTGTTGTGCCACCTCCAGATCATCAGGGGTCTCAGCAGCTGTTAGCGCAGCGAGCATCACCGGAGTATAGCCGGCCTTATTCACATTATTGGTTTCACATAGACCTGGACACACACACACACACACACACACACACAGGTTACATTGCCTAATTGAGCCAACATCTTGCCCTGATCTGTTTTACATTCAGCCGTGTGTTTGGATCTCACCTGTGTCCAGCAGCAGCTCGACCACAGGGAAGTTGGAGTGTGACACGCTGTAGTGCAGCGCCATGTTCCCGTTCCCATCTGTCAAGTTAACAACGTACGGCAGAAGAGTGGGCGTGGTCAAGCCCACCTGTCGCAGGTACAATCTGACGGTGTCGGCCTGTGAGTCTTTCTGACTGGAGACCTTGAACCACTCCTGGTAGAGCACCACTAAGACCTGACGCTGAGGAGAGAGGAAAGAGATGTCAATTAAAAAGCCACAGGTTTCTGCGTTTTTACTGTAGGAACAGTTAACCGCTGTAAACCGCTGTTACTCTACTCATTAATGTCAGAAAGCTTAGAAAAGAACCTGAAGCAAAAACACGAAAATACTTTTAATGTGGAACAGGAAGAGGGCATAATCGTTCCAGCAACAGAAAAGATTAGGGATGTGTACGGACGTTACAGTCTAATGAGGGTGAATTTAAGAACACACAAACACATAAATCCCTACCATCTCTTTATCTGGCGATGAAACCTCTTCCATACGATCCTTCACGTAGATGCAAGCATCTATAAACCCTTTGTCAACTTTCTCCCTGAAAACAAAGAACAAGTGGACACATAAAGAAGCAGCCTTGAGTGGCCCATCACAGGTTATTGTCTTTTGTCAAGAACTTTAAAGTAGACCTCGAAGCAAAAGAAAAAAGAAGTCACGTTTAACCCATCACTCTCCACATCTGTTCTTTCCATTGTTTTTGTTTTGAGTCTTGTTCAGGTTCAATGTGGAAATACCATCAAGTCTGGAAAACATGTGGCCAAGAGACGGCTACTGTGGAAATTCTGTCTGGGATGAAAACAAAAGATAAAAGATACCCTGCAGGCTCACACTCACACACACACACACACACACACATCAGTCAATGGTGTGACACATTGATAACACATGCAAACTTCCATAGTAACAGTTTACACTGATTCACTGCTCGTACTCTCGTCTATCATGCACACTGAGCCTGAGTAGGTCACAATCATTATGTGCACCCTATCCATAACACACACACACACACACACACACACAGGTGCTGAGTGATGGCTTAATATATGTTCTGCTCTCTGCCAGGGGCCCCATCTAATGTCTGGCCCAACGGCCCTCAGGTCTGTCCACGTACCTGAGGCAGAAAAGTCATTATTCAGTGACAGGAAGAACAACACTGCTGGTTATTTGCTTATTGTCCCGGACCTCTGGTACTTAAGGGAGTTAAGTGTGAATGCTAGTCTAGGTTTTTAGTACGAAACATGTGACAGCAGCTTGGTGTGTGTGTGTGTGTGTGTGT